CCATTCGTTAACGTTTGATACAATACTAAAATACAAAGATATTTATAAATAATCAATAATTAATAGATTGATATTATCCTTAATAATATATAAATATTTGCGCTTTATTTACGCGCCAATGAATGCAACAAAGTTTTATTTAAAGTTAATAAATGTTTGAATGTTTGTTCATTTATAGGATACCACCGGCTGTTAGCAAAAGAATCTTTTTAGGAATAAAATGTAAGTCAAATTCAATCAATCAATAAATGGTTAATCACATAAACAGGTCAATGATATCCCAATACTCCCATTGAGACTCATTTCCTTCGCTCTTAGACTCACAGATCAAACAAACAGATCAATACATGACTTCAAACATACCATTTAATGTGATATGCAATGAAATTCTATACGATTTTCGCATTCAAATGTTAACANACTCCCATTGAGACTCATTTCCTTCGCTCTTAGACTCACAGATCAAACAAACAGATCAATACATGACTTCAAACATACCATTTAATGTGATATGCAATGAAATTCTATACGATTTTCGCATTCAAATCTTAACATCTCTTCACTTCAATTCGTTTTTCTCTTTTTTGTAAATAATTCAAAAATTATTAACAAAACATTTTATCAAAAAACATAACTTTTATTACAACCTAATCATGTATTTATCAATGGTTATATGATTAATGTAAGCAATAAACAAAAGTAAAAATCATTTCATTGGATACAGACTTGGCTTACAGACAGATATAGACATAACGAATGATGTTTCAAACCAAAGATATCAAAGTTATGTTACTTTCGGTGAAAATCTCAAAAAGTATTAATTTTCACTTATTATTCAAAACATTATTTATATTTATATGAAGTTTGAGGGAAAGCAATGATATATTTATATACAGTATTCGCATCAATGAACTGAAGTTTGTATTTCGTTAAATACTCTCCAACAGCAAAACATGGGTCAGTCCCTGCTTTTATTAAATCTTATTTTGCTATCTTTTAGGGCTTATTGAAGTCCCAGTGCTCAGTGAAAGGGAAGACTTTTATTATATAAAGTCTTTGTGTGAATACAACAATAGATTATTCGATATTAGATCTTATTCTCTGAGGTCTTCGACGAGTCTCACAATTTTCAAAATACAGAAAACAAAACATTGTTTTCAGTCTATTCAAGCACAAAGAGTTGGTATCGCATGAAAAAAAGGGAATTACATTTTATGTTATTAACAAAAACACCACTAAAATGATTAATACATGAATGGGAGAATGTAAAGTCATTTATTTAAAATTATTGATATGTTTGTGAATTGAATGGAAATATTCAACACGAGTTGTTCACTGCTTTTGTTGCCAGAGATGTCTTCATTTAAATATTCAAATTAATCATCACTTTTCACTTTATATGACCTGATATTATAGTCGCTAACATATTATGATACACAAAATCATACGAATTAGTCCTCAAAAATTGAGATTATTTGTGAATTTTACAGAAAAAAGTTTCAATAAATACAAAAATTAATTTATAGTAAAAGCTTTTACTAGTATTGTATTGTTTTGTCACAAACATATTCTTTCAAACCATTAACAACATCTCTCCCCTTATAGTCAGTCCCCCTCTTAAACAGTCTCTCTCTCTCTCTCTCTCTTTCTCTCTCTCTCTCTCTTTCTCTCCCTCTCTCTCTCTCTCTCTCTCATTCCCTGTTTAGCAATTTATTACAGAAAGAGAGGTCAATACTTATATATCAAAATAAATGTTCATTTTTTACAATTCCCCACAAAATCAAATCAAATTAAGCAAGAACAAATTGTAAACAATTTAATTCTGAGACTTTACAACATTTTTTCCAATTGATTTCTAATTGATTATAGGATTGCTCTTTAAGGATTAATCTTAATTTAAACTCCAGTATGATGTATTGTATACAAACTTTGTAATTATGATATAAAACTGTGATTTCTGTAAATCTTATAAAATTTTCTACAAAATTGCATATAAAATAAGTTTTAACTTTCACTTGGCAATCATTATAATTAAATGAGTGAAGTTGATATTTGATTTAAATCTAGACGATTTTAACATTAAACCCCAATTTTATATAAGAATATTGAATTAACTCTGTGTTTCTTTGGGAAAATTATTATTACAATTGAAACTTATATTCATTTTGTAGATATAGTTTGCAGTAACAGATATAAATATTTTCTATTTAAAAATAAGTTATATTACAACCAAAAATAGTAAATAATACATAATTTAATAATACAATACAAACAANGTTTGCAGTAACAGATATAAATATTTTCTATTTAAAAATAAGTTATATTACAACCAAAAATAGTAAATAATACATAATTTAATAATACAATACAAACAAACATAAACGTATGAATCAATGAGATTTAATTGAAGTAATGATAGAAGTATTTCCGTCTATTTAATACTGTATAATATTTAAAATACTTCATTTATTAAACAAATCTAACTAGTAAGATTGCTCAATTTGCTTAAATCTTTTCAATAATTAATGATCTAGTAGTTAATAATCAAGGAGTATTTTAAAATTAACTGTAATATTCATTATTATTGAATTTAAAAAACGAAATAATAATTATTATAAATTCATAGTAGTGACATTGAACATTAAATATAAGTTTAAAGTTGTTTGTTTATTATCATTTATCATTGTATGAATAATTAATAAAATGTTTATACAAAACAGTTTCACCACTAATATGGCCACCGAATCAATTGATTGGTTCTTCGGTTGGAAGCGATGTAATACTTGTCTGCAATTTAGAGTCACATCCGAAAGCAATGACTTCTTGGGTCAGAGACAACGATCGCGCGATTATTCACTCAAACGCCAAATACTCGACTACTTTTGAATCGAGTGATAGTGAATACAGAAGTGAAATGAAGTATATTTCAAAGAGTTTATCATTAATTTTAATTAAATACTTATAAATACAATGTTTTATAATCAACAGGCTAAAAATAATAGACTTAAACCCATCTGACTTTGGGACGTATACGTAAGCTTAACAATATCATGTAATTTGACAATTAAATAATTGTATTGAATTATGTGAATAGATGTCTGGCTAAGAATATATTGGGTGAAGTGGAGGCTAGTATTAAACTATTTGAAACACCAAAGTCTTCAATAGATCCAAAGCAACAGACTTTGTTTGCAAAGGAATCCAAGTCTCGGAACAAAAATAATGTGCAAACTATGAGTTCAATGGGTTTTGATGACAGAGGAGATGGAGGTATAGTAACACTCATTACATTTGATTTAATTATGTATTTACTGTATTATGATTTCCGATTAATAATGATTTGTCTGCAATGAAACAGAAACTAATCAAAACCGAGCCATAGTTTTGACGGAAGTATTGAATTATGAGATGACATCCGAACACATAACCCTTCAAACCGAAGACAGAGTTACTCTTAATTCACACAATCATCGCACCGACAGCTCTACTAACTCTTCGGTCTCTTTATTATCT